CTTACTCCTACTCCTTACTCCAGCTTACTCCATGTATTGTAGACCAGCCTTTAGATTGCACTGACATTTTACATAATAGTTACGATAAGTATTTAAAATTTGCCGCTCTTTATACGCTGTTTAATGAAAAATGGCGACTTCCGTTACATTGGCTCTACTTATAAGAACTCCGAGCTCCGTGCGACTGCGACAGCCTTATGACCGGAAACAATATACTTACGACATTGTCGTACGACATGCGACACAGCCTGTGCGTTTATTGTAGACGAGGTTTAGCGGCTGGTGTTACACTTGTCGTACGACAAATTTTTCAAGCGTGTCGATTGGCTGCAGGATAGGAAAATTCTCAAGTATCTATAAATGTTCTAGCCTGTAGCCAATCAACACGCTTGAAAGATTTGTCGTACGACAAGTGTAACACCAGCCACTAAGCCTCGTCTACAATACTTGGCGTCTTTCGTTACCTTTTTTTTTTAAAAAAAAGGTTATCTATAGTATACATTTTCAGTACCGAGAGCAAATATCGGAAGCCTTCGTATCTTATATGCATTGTTACACTTCGTTTCGTTGTTCTTTCTCTGCAATAGTATTTTCCGGCTTTGAAAGTGTAATTGCGGAACGTCAGATAATCGCACGATTCGATTCTTTCTTTTCGTTCGTTTGTTCCACCCGTTACGGGAACGTCGTCAACCATTAGGTTGTTTAGCGTATCTTTCTTGTCGAGTCCCTCCGAATTATACCACCTTTCCAGTGCGCCGTGTAAACTGACAGAACGCTTCGATTCTCCCCCCGGTACGCGCGGCAGGATTCAAGTTCCGGACAATGCAGATTGATTTCAATCTCGCGATTCACAACTTAGCTCCTAGGAATTGGAAAAGGATAAAGGGCGAGCGGCGTCAAAGTTGGCAGGAGTGGGCATAAAACGGCGGAGCGCGCGCCGGATCGCGCCGAGACTCGCACGCTCAACAGTCGGCGAAGGTTAGAAGACGCCGCTCCCCCCGGGGAAACCGGCGTGGCGTCGTCGTCGGCGACACGAGCCGCCGCGTTTGACATGGCAGCCATTGGCGCAACCGAAAAGCGCGCGTCTCGCGTTGCACGGCACCGATCGCCCCGGTGCCGTTCCCGTATAGTCCCTTGTCTCTCTACCTCACCCTCTCACGCTCTCTCTCTCTCTCTCTCTCGCTCATTCACTCGCGCTCTTTCTCTCGCACTCACCTGCGAAGTTCTCGTCCACCTCCTCGTCCGACGCCATTCTCCAGCGAGGCCGCTACTCGGCACCGAGGACGACGAAGACAGCGGCGACGACGACGACGGGACACGAGTCACACGAGGACGACAATCGCGACACAACGGCGGCGAGAGGACGCCTCGCGAGTCCGCGACGGAGACGCGCTCCTTCTCCTCCGGTCGCCCTTCCGCCTCACCTGTCCGCTTCTTCTCACGAGCGCGCGTAAACGCCGCGGCAGCGCGTCATCGACGGCACACGACGCTACCTCGCTTCCCGGTGCGCACGGCCTGGCTGCAGCGTGCCGTCGCTCCCGGCTCCGGTGTATATACCCTCGGCGGCCACGACACGTATACACGCGCGCGCGCACACAACGCAAACGCTACGCTACGCTCCGCTGCCGCTACCGTTTACGCCGCGCGCGATTCGTCGTTTCCCCTCGTCCCGCTTCACCACTCAAAGGCGCGCGGCCGAGGCTTCTCCGCCTTTCCCCTGCTTTTCCTCGCTCTCCCCCCCCCCTCCCTGCCACGAGGAATTGTACCGCGGACTCTCGCACGCGAGCGTCTCCCGCGAACGACAAAGCCCACGGTTTCTCTCCTCTGTCCTTTCTGCCCCCCCCCCTCTCCTGCCCCCACGGTCATTCTGTTCGGCGAGTTCGCAGTCCCTAACCTGATCTAACCCAACCCTAACCTAACATAATCGCGACGCGCCGCTCTCGCCGAGCGACAGGAGGCGCGACCGAGCCGCGCGACTCGTGTCGTCAGCAGCCGCGCATTCACGAGGGTCTCCGCTTCTCGCCGAGGGTTCGCACGGACAAATTTTTCGTAAAATGGTAAGCAGGTCGGATTGCTGACTAAGTCGATGTCGCGCGGGCGCCCACGGATTGCGAGCGGAGCGCCCGCGCCCGCGACGCGCGACGGTCGCGCGTGAACTCGCGAGGCCCGCACGGGACGGCCGGTGTTTTCGCCGCTGACGCGAAGGTTATGTCCACCCCGCGGAGCCGCCGCTCGACGTGGATCGGTTGCGAGATGTTGCGCGATCGTCGGGGGGGCCTGCGGTGGCCCGCGCGTTTCCCCTTCGTTCGCGAGCGCTCGACGAATCGGCTCGTATTGACGACGGGGCGTCACGCGACGCACGTTTCTCCCCGACATTTCGGCGCGATTGTCAGGTCCGGGCGATTCACGATCGAAGACTCGGGCCCGGTTTCACCGACGCTGTTTAACTTGAAGCTTAGCTTCATTCGTTCTTTGTCCCTTTTCAACTGTTACCTTGAATTGAATCAAGATTGAAGTGAAGCGACGTTTGGTAAAACCGGGTCGAAAACCTAAGGCCCGGTTTCACCCACGCTGTTTGACTTTAGGCTTGGCTTAATTCGTTCTTTGTCTCTTTTCAACTGTTACTTTAGAAAGAGACGAGCGTGAGTTGAACCAAGATTAAAGTTAAGCGACGTTCGGTTGAAACCGGGCCCCAGTGTGCTCGACTTATATTAATATAATATAATAATAAATGGATGTTGCGACAGTTGCAGAACGTTGCGTCATGCAGGGCGAGCCTGAAGGGGGCCGCGAGGCTGGTGCGACCCGCGAGAAGCCTGAGAGATGGCTCGAGGGAGCGCATGCTGTCACCCGCTCTACCGTCGACGTCGTCGGTGGAGCTGCTCGACGCGCGTGTGCAGTCGGTAAGTTCCTTGCCGCGGAGACGGGCGACGCCGGTGATGAGCAGCGACGCTCTTTTCTTCTCTCTTGCAGTTTCGACCGTACTCGAACCCGGCGCGCCGGCCGAGCTTCCTCTCGCAGTTCGTCGAGAACATCAAGCAGGAGATGCAGAAGAACAAGGAGATGAAGGAGTCGTTGAAGAAGTTCAGGGAGGAGGCGGAGAAGCTGGAGCAGTCGGAGGCGCTGCGAACGGCGCGGCAGAAGTTCCAGGCCGTCGAGTCCGAGGCTAATAAAAGTTCGGAAGTGATCAAAGAGAAATTAGACACAATTAAGGAAAAGGTGTGCGCAGGGATAGGAAAGTTACCTTTGAAAAGTAACTGGTTGCAGTTGCTCGTTGCCGAGCGTAAAGTGTAACTCGTTACCGTTATAGTTACTGATTTTCGAAAGTAACTCGCCATCGCTACTTAAAACATAACATTTCATTACTTTTTTAATTCCAAAGCGAGACCAGACAAACTAAAACGTCTACCTTCGTACTAGCTTTTTATTAGCAAAGATATGAAAGAATTTTTTACCTTAAAGTTGTAGCTACAAGTAACGCCAGGGTGTCCAGTGGTCAGGAAAATCTGGAAAACCAGGAATTGTGAAGGAAATTAGAAATCTGGAAAAGTCGGAATTTTACGATTTATCTGAATTTTTTTACATCGTTTCACATTTTTTCTGAATAATTTAAAGTCTTTAGACAATAAACTTTTCTTTGGCTCTCGGTACACTAATTTTCTGTTTCTGAACATCAATTTATTTGGGGACACGGTGTAACGCGTGTATAACTGTGCAAACTTATGTCTGAAAGGTGCAAGAAGTTATCGAGGAGGCGAGCAAGACTGAATTGGGGAAACGTGCCGGGCAGTTGGGCGGGGAGATCAGCAGGTCGGCCAAAGGCGCGGCAGAGACCATCTCGGAAAAGAGCCAGGCACTTGGTAAGACCGGCGCATTTCAAACGATATCGCACACCGCCGAGGCCGTACGGAATGAACTTGACCAACATGGAATTCTAGGTAGATAGATTTGGCTGAAATAGAGACAGGGAGTAGGGAGCAGATTAAATTTCATTATTGCTTGATGCAGGCAATGTTTACGTTCCGCCTAAAAAGCTAAGAAAGAGGAACGAAGTGGCGATAGAGCCTAGAGAAATTACGCCCGATCAAAAGACGACGGGCGTGGAAGTGCACAGGGACTACATGTTTTCGAATGCCTGGCAGAAATTCAAGGTACCTATCGCGGCTAATGCCTCGGGATATAAATTTTACGCGATTACGCGTAAGCCAGTATCCAGACGGACGTTGACGAGTGCCTCCATTTAATGTGTCGGATGTTTTTTTAAAGGATAATAATCCATACGTGAATAAAGTAATGGACTGGAAGATGAAATACGACGAGTCAGATAATGCCATGCTACGCGCTTCCAGATTGCTTACGGATAAGGTTTCGGACATTATAGGCGGGCTGTTTCAAAAGACCGAGCTGTCGGAGACCCTTACAGAGATCTGTAACCTGGATCCGACTTTTAGCAAAATACAATTCCTGAAGGACTGCGAGACCGACTTCATCCCGAATATCCTCGAGGCGATGGTCAAGGGTGACCTCGAGATTCTCAAGGACTGGTGCCACGAAGGACCCTACAATATAATCGCGCATCCGCACAAGGAAGTGAAGAAGTTGGGCCATTACTCGGATAGTAAGATTCTAGGTACGTATATACCATTCGTTAATCATACGATGCCGTCTCCAAGTCGTGAGGGAAGAATATCGTTTGCAGATATCGACAACGTGGACCTGGTGATGGGCAAGATGATGGAACAGGGCCCGGTTCTGATAATTAGCTTTCAATCTCAGCAAATCATGTGCGTGAGAAACTCGAAGCACGAGGTGATCGAGGGAGATCCCCAGAAAGTGATGCGCGTCAATTACGTCTGGGTGATGTGTCGCGACCGAACGGAACTCAATCCCAAGGCCGCGTGGCGTTTGCTCGATCTCAGTGCCACCAGTTCGGAGCAGTTGGTATAGTGCGCGGAACGAAACCCAGCGCAAACTCACCTACTCGAACGTTCGCGCCACCAAGTGGAGGGCGTCGTGTAGTGGTGTCATCCATGTACATTGCCGTTGTCATTCGCGTTAAAAATTCCTTCGACCTTCGTGTTGAACGATCACCGATCTAGCGTACATAGTGTACAGCGTGTTTCCTGTAAATCGGAATGTTTATGTATGTATACAAGATTTTAGCAACGCATTATCTGTAAATTTTAATTACATGTCATGTAAGTACATAGACGTTGCCAGGTTATTACTTGCAAAATAATATATTTGTAAATACATCGAGATCACGTTGTCCGATACGATCTGTGATTGCATATAGCTTGCTACTATTTAAAAAGTAGGTCATAAATATAATAATATTCATTTTTATCGTGTACATAACGCACGTTACGTCTTTACGTCGAGTATTAATTGTTTGATCGGTTTTTCCAACCAGTGCTCTACACTTTCAGACTAACAAAAATAGAACTTAAAAAAAAAGCATAAAAAATTGTATCACGGATTGGCAAATATTAAAAACTGCGTTTCATCACAATATTCACGTTACGGTTACATGACAATTTTCCCAGTGGCAGTAAAGGGAAGGAGGATGGTTGTATTCTATTTTCGAGACGATGAGAATCGTACTTTTCGAATGCTCAAATCAATGATGTAAAAAATAATTACAGATATTAAAGATTTTAGAAGTGAAAAGTATTCACCTTCTTTAAAATACGATATTTCAATTATGTGCACGTATCTAATATATTGATATATTAATATATAAATGAATGTACATACACATGTGTAATATATTAACGAATAAGTATACGACAATCGAGTTACAAAGGGAACCGATTGTCTTTTGAAGACTATTGTAGGAGTTACAAGCTTACAATTAAATTGAAGTAGAATAAAATGATAGTCAGTGAACAAGACAAACGGTTATAGTATTAGTTTTCTATTTTATTAATAAAAAAAAACATTTAGACAAGCGAGATGCTATCGGTAACCCCGGTTTTCATTAACGCAATTTAACTTCGATCTTAGTTCAACTTTTCGTCTCTTTCCAAGTTGTTCGAGAGAGATGAAGGATAAATTAACGCAAGATGAAAGTTGACAATATTTGTGAAAACCGGGGCAAAGAAGATAAATCTAAGCTACGTTTACATATATTTTATAACGTTACACTGTTAAAATCTTTATATAAATATAGAGCGAGTTACAATATTACACAAAACTTGGGAGCAAAGCATTTTAATCGACGTGTGACGTGTAACGCTTCGATCTAAGTTTACTCGCAAAGGCGGGACTGTGCGGATCAGTCAGCGGTTTTGTCGATTTGATAACCATTGGCGATTTGTACGCCGGCATCGGTCTGGCTTTCATCTCGGTTAATTTGCGCAGCTTCGCCTTCATCTCCTTTTCGGATTCGAGTCTTTTCTTTTCGATTTCCTGACACTTTGCCTCCTCCTCCATTTCCTTACGCTTAATCTTCTCGTTGAACTCCTCTCGCTCCTTCGCCCGTTTATCGGTGTTCAATGTCAGCGGATAGGCTTTCAACGGTACTTTCTGTTTATCAAAAATGGAAGCGACGCTCTTCGACTTTCGAATATTCTCTCTCCCCGTCTTGGAAGACTCGGAGTTCGGCTCTTTGTTCTCTTGATTCTCCGCTTGCTCGCTCGCCGTATTCTTGTCCTTCGCTAACAGACTCTCTTTCGATCTACCGCGAACCATGACGGGTTTGAAGACCGGTGCCGGATTCGCGCGGAACACGCGCGCCCGCTTGTCCTCTTCGAACACCTGCTTCACCAACTGTTCCTTTCTCTCAAATGCTTTCTTGTTCCGATCATCAAAGCTGAACGGACACGGCAAGATCGGTTTTTTCGTATCTTGCTGCTGTTCCTGCTGCTGTTTCGCCCGCGGCGTTGGTGGCTTTGAAAAATTCGGCACCGGTCTAGCGTGGAATTCCGTTTTCACCTGGTTGGCCTCCTGCAAACTCTTCAGCCGTTGTTCCTTCTTCATCTGCAGATTCTTGTTGCGCGCCTCGAAGCTGAACGGCATGATGCGCGTCACGTTCTTCGTGGCGCCGGTGTCTTTCGGCACTCCAAAGAACGTTATCTCCTCGTGGTCTACAATAATACTCGAAGGATCAGTCGCTAGCACCTTGACTACGTTCTTCGGACCGGACGCCACTTTCTTGCGATGTGGCAACAAAATCTTGGGCTGAGATATGCTCGTGACGGCAACTTTTTCATTGGATTGCGTGGCTGTCGTCGACCTCTTTGCAACACCGACGGATTTTGTCACCACTGGTCCTCGTGGTCCTCTCAGCACGTTACGTGGTATCGGATTGGCCTTTATTTTATGCTTCCTCATCTCCTCGACCTCCAGTTTCTCGCGCTCCTCTCGGCTCAGCGCGGTAACGGGACGCGCCCTGGTCTTCGACACGAGCGCCGGCGAAATCGGAATCGTCGGCTTCAGGCGGTTCTGCATCAACTTCGTCGCGTTGAGCACGTCCACGCCCGACTTATTGCTTCTGGTGTGGAAACGCTCGGGCGTGTCATTTTGGAAGCGCGACACCGCCTCCGCCAGACTAACGTACTTCTTTTTGATCGAAACTCTGCGTTTCAGCATACTCGGCCTATGATTGCACCAGGTAAGCACCGTGTGCTTGTTCGAAGACTGCCTTTCGTTACCTTTCTTGATCGCAGCGTCCACGTCGTCTTGAGCGGCCTCTTTCTTCGCCTCCTCCTCGGTACCCTTGTCGTTCGCTGACTCTCCCGATTCATCTCGCAACTCCCTATCCTCTTCCTCGTTCTGTTCTTCACCGTCCGTCTCGTCACCTTTCTTAAAACCTTTTTCATTGTTTTCCTCGTTGGATCCCTTGCCGCTCTCCTCCTCGACCTGCTTTTCTCTCTCATTGTTAGAGTCATCCGTCAAGTCGTCTGGACTCCCGGAAGGATCGTTGTGCTCGGTGCAATTCTCGTCTTGCTTTAACAGAGCATGACTGACTCGCGTTTTCTTCGCGCTTGCGGACGTACCATTGTTCGGCACGCAGATACTCTTGCTGAGTTTCGTGGGGCTTGTCACGGGATCTTGTCCAGATGGGACGCACTTACTCGAAACGCTGCGACAGCCAACAGATCTGGACAACTTGGCGATCTTCGACATGTTCGGCGTGTTGGCATTCAACATCTGGGTAGCCTCGTTCGCCACGTCTCGTTTAGGCGGTTTCTTGCAGAGCTCCAATTTCCTCATCGCATCACCCAGCACCTCATCGTAAGTGGTCTCCACTATTGTCGCCTTGTTATTGCGAGTTTTCGGGGAGATCATCTTGATGGGGGTATTTTTTATGATGTCCAGGTCGGCCTGTGCCATCGTGCTGGCGCACGTGACGTCCGGTTGCTGCGCGGGCTGAGCGATCTCCGTACTTTCGCAAGTGGGGTCACCGAGATTCTCCGCACGCTCGTGCACCTCGTGCGGCTTTTCGAAGAAATCCGGCACCCGTATCGGGCTGTGAGTCTCGGTGAAGTCCACCCACTGCGGCGCGTGCAGCTCGTAATAATCCCCCATCATTCCCCGATCTGCGAGATGTACGGACGCGGACGCTGAGATACCCTGGTGCTCGAGTCGAAGAGAATCTCGGTGTCAAAAGCCGAATGCCATCCAACGGTTAATTGATCTAAAACATAAAACTGTTTAAGTCTCAAACAACATAGGGACTAACAGGAGATATGGAAGTAAACATGTGAAATTCTTTTATTCCTACATCATAGCTTTTGCACCCCAATTACTTGCGAGCTATGTTACTTCAACTGACCTTCGAAGTTGAGCAAATCGACTCGGTCGCTTCTACAACGGCTGTGTTTTGCCAAACCTCCGCCTGGCTAGACGCGCGTACAAGCGGCGAGCGTTTGCTCACAAATGTTCGGCTGGACTAAGCGCGCCGAGGCTGCGTCAAGCGGCACTGAAATCGAAAGCGCTACCAAACGAGCGACTGCTCAGCTGGCGGAGGCTCGGCAAAACACGGCCAATGATACAGAAATGACGTTGCTTCGACGACGACGCTCGTCGGTGTCCGTAGATCAACAGCTTGCTGCGTTATTCGGGCGAACTCCTCATTCCGACGAGCTAACAATCGAGTCTCGCAGGTCCGACATTTCGTCGCGGGATCAAGATAAAGGTCGGCACAACGTACTTACGTCTATTCAAGTCTGCTATCTTGCGTGTCTCGTCACTCAAGAACTCATTGACGAAAATCCGTTCTTCTTGCAACGTGCGTCCTCGCTCTCTGCCGGCACGCTCTTCTTAATTAAATAGCACCTGTCTTCCTCAGGACAATACAGCCAAGCCGGTGGGCTCGACCGATCGAGGAGGACCTGACGAGGGCAGGGAACCGAGCCAGCAACAACCTTCTCGCCGGCGCAGCCAACGACGGAATCGCGTACGTTGCGTACGTTCAAGTTCGAATCTCTCGGTGCTGCGCCCGGATTGGCCGGCGTTGTTGCTAGCCGCGTCCGGGATTTCGCGCGTGCGCGTCGCGCGCGCCCATCCGGAGGGAAACAAGAGAAAAGAAACTGACGCCTTAGGAAGTCGACTCTCTTCTACGGAGTCTCTCGAAAGCCGCGTGATTACCTACCGGTGTATCTCAACGTTGAACAACGTCGTTTTGTTCTCTCGTCCCGTCCCTTTTGTCCCCTCGAGGATACCGCGGCGCGCGCCAAGATTTCTCTCGCGCCTCTGTTGCGCAAGTCACTCCACCGCCCCGCGCATGCGCGGAGAAACCCCGCCACGTCGTAGCGCGCGTTCCAATTGGCTGCCGAGTTGGCACCGCGTTTCCACGAAGGGAAACGTCAAGGCAGAAAAGTCCCTACGTCGAAATATCCCTATAGCGAGTGCCCGCCAAAGTATGAATCGCCAAGTGTTTAAATTTTTAATTTCCGTCGAGTTATTTGCAGAAAGCAGCGGTGGATCACCGCGTGCAACAAGAACTGCAAAAGTGAATTGTATGATTTATGCCACGGCCATCTTTTTTTTTGCCAACACGGTCAAATACAGTTTTTGCGTTTGCAATTCTTTTTATCGGCTTGATGCACAAAGGGATGCTAGGATAAGTTGCGGGCCGCATATCACAACTTTTTATAAAAATGTCGCTTTATAAATGAACTGAAGTTAGCTAATCTCAATCGCTTATAAGGCGATACTTTTTCCTTCCCCTTCGGTGTTTAATATAAAGTCGACCGTCCCTGGGTTTGTCTTTACGCGTGCTTTAATCGCGTGGAAGAATTTTGCAGTTTTATTAAGTGAATTTCAAATTTTAGTACGAACTACAATGTGAACATTTCAAACACCAATGCCACGTGGTTTTCGCAATTTATCCCGGAATCATTTTGTGCGTAGACGCTAAGAAAAAGAATTACAAGCGCAATATTAAAAACAGTGGCGATCGTGGCGCAGAGGATTGTGCGCTGGTCTGGTAATCCGAAGACCTGGGTTCAAAACCAAACAAAACATTGTTGGTTTTTCGTTCGAACGCCACCCAGCAAACACCAAAGTAACAATTACATAACATCAATGCAAATGTAATATAACAGGCATGTGTTATATTACATTTATATTGATGTTATGTAACTGTTACTTTGGTGTTTGCTGAGCACATAGAGAAGTGGATATAGAGAAAGGTGTTACAAAAGGTTTGGGCACGTTCCTTCAAAAACGCCTTGTAACCCTAAGGGGAATCAATAAAATGTATCTACATCTACAAGCGCAAAAACTATATTTGACTGCGCGTCGGTAAAAAAAAAAGATGGCTGAGGGATCGTCTCGTCATTGCGAAAAGTTCAAGTCAGCAGTAATGAAAATTGCGGCTGTCTTTATGAGAAAATATGATTTATTCGATAAATATTCTTATCATTGGTTTAGAAATATTCGTGCCTAGACTTTTACGGAACTATTACTTTTTCTACTATTCCACTGGACAGTGCAAAAAGGATCTCGCCTTTTTATTGCTCGGCCAATCGCACCGGTAGTCGCGCTTCGCTACAACCAGAGAGAAACCTGAAAGTGAACGCCGGCCGTTTTACTCGATACCGTTTCGAGAAACTGTTTGCACGCCCTTACGCCCACTTTTACGTTTGGATCTGTTTTGCTATGCTCTTTTGACACTGCCTCCAGGTCTCCACTTCGTGCGTGTTCGTGTTATACCTACTTTTTAGGACTGCGCTGTAAATTTCAAAATTACATGACCACAAATTATCCACATAGTGTTTACATCAGCTTTGTTTCATATAGACAACGTAAATTTTATGAATTAGATATCACAATGCATAGCACAGACACGCACCAAGTGAAAATTGCATCAGCAGAGTTGGAAAACGTGCAATGATAGCTGCAAAAATAAAAATGAGCGCAAGGGCGCGTGAAACAGTCTCCTGAAACGGTATCACGTAAAACCGCCGGCGTTCACTTTCTCTCAGGTTTCTCCCTGCTTTAGTGAAAAGTCCCTAAATGAGGATCGTTAAGTTCGTCGCTAGAATAAAATAATTATGCAGCAGTTTGCTACACAACTTGCTACAATCCTAACGAAAAATTTGTCTAAAATGTAGGGAAAGACAGGATCAAATTAACTAAATATCCAGTCGGTCGTGTTGGCCGACGACACAATTGGCCACGTCTTTCCGTTCCAATACAACCGTCGGGTTTCACAAAAACTGATCCAGCTCCAGCGACTCCTCGTTCTCCCGCTCCAACTCCTTCACGGCTGTCTCCAGGGCGAACAGATGCTCGTCCTGCACGCCGGGCGCAATCGTGCGCATCGCGGACGCCAGCTTGTAGAGATATTCCACATTCGGGCCGCTGAGGCCGCGCGAGACGAGTATGTGCCTCGCGAGGGTGTCCAGGTTCTCCATACCGGCGAAATTCGGGTTGTCCTCTTCGCCTATGTAGATAGTGAGGTAGAACGGGGCCTCGTCCGAGGCGGCGGAGAAGCTCGTCCTCGACAGGTCGTTGGTTGAGACGTTGACGTTGGCGCCGAACTTGGCGAAGTCACAGGGGTAGAAGAGGACGGTTCTCTTGATGTAGCCGCCCTTCTCCCGAAAGTCCAAGTGGTTCACCACGTTTTCTATGTTCTCGGAGGATATCTTGTACGCGACTCCCCACACCTCGTCGTCGGGGTTGCTGGAGGCGAGCAGCGTCACCACGCGTCCAGGCTGCAACATGAAAAGGGAAATGCGGTTGAATGAGCCAGCCAGACCCCGGGGGGCCCACGTTCCCTCACGGAGGCTCCACTGTGCGTGCCCGAGAGGCAACCCCGGTAGACATTGGCCCAAGGGTGCTCTCCGGCAACGTGTATACACAGGCGACGCCGTGTAACAACAGCGAGTCGCTTTATCCCCGTCGTTCGCCGTTGTTCAACGAGGATCAAGTGACTCTGCGTCGAGTCTAATCTACAATGCGCTTTCTGCGTCTAGAAACATTCTATTTCATATAAACAGATCGAAACGCTCAACAAATTTGTCAACAATGTACGATTTATACAACGTATAATATACAATTTATCAACTTGCATAGATTTCGTAAACGTATACATTAGCTACAAAGTAGAATGTTTCTAGACGCAGAGGGCACATTGTAGATTAGGCTTCACACCGCGGCAGTTTGTGTCTCTCGCCGTGGAAAGCACCCTACGTTTCCCCGTTCTGACGCGCCTGCTGTCGCGGACCGAGCCGAGCGGCCACGCGACGGAACCCTCACCCTGTTCGGCACGCCACGATGGTCCGTGCTCTTCTGATAGAAGCGCCTGACGTATCCCTTGATGCGCCCGACCAGCTTCCTCTCGTACGGAAAGTCCGCCTTCCATATCAGCGAGCCATAACCAAACACCCACATGCTTGCCCGCTCGACCGCGCGCACCGCCGCGGGACCTTCCTTCACCGTCGACGACGACGACGACGATCACGTCGCGCGCCGGCACAGAAGCTGCCTGACCTCCCGGGTGACCAGCTCGTTCGTCAATGTCGCGGCATAATTCGCGGGGGAACGCACTACGGAACGACGCTCCATGTTACGCCCAGCGCGCGCGTCCGCTACCACCGCGCGAGTATAACCTTACTGCGACCCGAACGCACGTGTCATAACAATCGAGCGGGGGGGAAAAGTGCCCGCGCGACCGCGTTGTCGGTGGCCCGCGAGAGGGAAAACAAAGGCTTCGCGAGCAAGTGAGGCGCACGTGATACGAAGGATCGGCTGGCACGTCGAGGAAACCGACGTGACGGCGAACGCCGTAAACGCAGCCCAGCGTAAGCGTTTATTTGCGAAAAATGACGTTGCTGTTGTCGCGCACGGACGTCCTCGCCGTCTGTTGCGTCAACGACGCCGTGCTCGTAGGTCAGTTGCGATAATTAGTACAAGTTTGTACAGTATTTCTGAACACTGTCATAGTCGTACGGTTTGTATGGTGTTAGTAATTGGGGTAATGTTGTACTTGATATTGTATTGTAATACTGTGTAAATTGTAACGTGATTGTGGCCCGAACATTGTACAATATTGTACAAATAATCCTGCCGGAGATTGACAGAGATCTAGGACCAGTAGCGCGATAATTAATACAATTTATACAGTACTTGTGAACGCTGTCGCAATTGTACGGCTTGTGCGATA